CTGGTTTGACTTTTTATTATTTTTTTGATGTATTTTACCTTATTTCGGGCTTTAATAACTTGTAATAAACTCTTGGAGATATTTAGTAAAAAGGGACGGGTAACTATGATGCAAAAGGTAGACACCATGCCTATAGGAATTTTGAATTCTGCATATGCACATAGAAATCATGTCTATAGGTCCTTCTGAATTCTTTATGCCCATCATTCACATAGAAATCAAGATCATAGGACTACTACATTCATATAGAAATCATGCTTACAGGATTATCTAAATCTGTACGTTCAATCGCACTTAGATATCATGTTCATAGGTCTTAAGCAATTTCTGCACTTAGATATCATGTTCATAGGTCTTAAACAATTTTTGCACTTAGATAGCATGTTCATAGTTCTTAAACAATTTCTGCACTTAAATATCATATTCATAGTTCTTAAACAATTTCTACACTTAGATATCATGTTCATTGGTCTTAAACAATTTCTGCACTTAGATATCATGTTCATAGTTCTTAAACAATTTCTGCACTTAGATATCATGTTCATAGGTGTTAAACAAAATTCAGCACCTAGATATCATGTTCATAAGTTTAAAACGAGTCTTCTGCATTTTATACCATGTTCAAAATCAACTACGCGTAGAAAGCATGTCTATAGGAACTTCTAATCGAATTTGAATCGCTTCATTCACATATGGAACTAAAATCAATAACAACGGGTACTGTTAGCTGTAGAACTTATAATCTTCGTTAAAAACTGGCCTTTCTTTTGACAATCTGACTCCTCTTTTAATCAGTATGTGTCCAGTTTATTTTAAACCCTGTTATTTCGTTGCTTTCTGAATTCAATAGATACCATGCCTATAGGATCCTTGTCCAACACATAGGCAAGCCTTAGGGTAAAGTTATAAATTAAATCAGTTCTGTTAATAAATACAACCAGCTGGCAAGCCTGATTCGGGCTTCTTATCTGAATTGTGTAATAAATCAGTCTGCCTCAACCTCTAAGCTCTTGCATGTTCAGTACTTAATCAGACCTTAACTAGTATGTGTAAGTCATGCTAATTACGTGTTTCTTTGTTCAAGGAGGTATATCTGAGCCTCTGCTTGTTATGTGCTTTCCCCCAACTTGCTATACATGTTTTGTATGTCGCCTTAGAATTTTTGCCTTTGAAACCACAAATAAGCCTAACATCCCTTCTCTTTAGGATTAGTAGTCCTCGTGCCTCCAGGACTGATAGAATTGGGACGGGTAGTAGCATGCAACAGGTAAACGAGACCATTCCGAGGTTTAATACCTTAACGGGGTGGGAAGGGTAGATATGGATATGATGACCACGCGATAATGTCACGTGTAGCCCCTCATTGTGGAGTGATTACCGGGCATTCTGTGGGGTGATCCATATTATTAATAAACCTAGGACCCCTCTCCCTTTATTTCTTTCTTTTCAGCATTTTTAACTCTTTATTTTTAAAATCAGTTTTTTAATTACTCTTTCAAACCTTGTTTACTTTCAAACCTTTATATGATGAAATCCCCTCTTATTTGAGCCCTATTTGTTTATATGCTAATTGTACCCAAATTCACAATAATAGTCTGACCGGGAACCACACTAGTGGATTCTGAGGGGTGCCTAACACCTTCCCCTTAGAATAATTTCAAGCCCTTACCCAATCTCTGGTTACTCAAATCAAATCTCCTTGGTGTCCTAATGCACCCTAATCATTAGGTGGCGACTCTTTAAATCAAACCCAATTCCCAAAAGGAATGAGTTATCCTCCCAAATGTCATAAACCCGATTTTGCGAGAAAAAAGGGGCGCGACACTCATGCCGAACTTCTGGATCAACTCCTTTGTGTATTTCGTTTGACATATGAATGTTCCTTCTTCAGATTGTTGAATTTGAAGTCCCAGAAAGAACATTAGCTCTCCCATCATACTCATTTCAAAATCTCTTTGCATAAGATTTGAAAATTTCTTGCACAAAAGAGGATTAGCACTACCAAAAATAATATCATCAACGTAAATTTGAATAATGAGATTACCTTCTGATGATCTTTTAATAAAAAGAGTAGTGTCTACTTTACCTCTTGTAAATCCGTGATCAAGAAGAAATATGCTAAGTCTTTCGTACCATGCTCTTGGAGCTTGTTTCAGTCCATACAGTGCTTTGGTCGATTTGTAGGGAAACTTTGAGTCTTCAAAACAAGGAGGTTGTTTTACATAAACTTCCTCAAACAATGAAACCATTTAGAAAGACACTTTTGACATCCATCTGAAATAGCCTAAATCTTTTAAAGGATGCGTATGCAAGAAAAATTTGTATTGATTCCAATCGAGCTACTGGAGCAAACGTTTCGTCATAGTCGACTCCTTCCCGTTGTGAGTGTTCTTGAGCTACTAACCTGGCCTTGTTTCTAACAACTTTCCCATCCTCATTTAGCTTATTTCTGAACATCCATTTTGTTCCAATTACAGGAGCGTTTTCAGGCTTAGGCAGCAGTTCCCATACTTGATTTTGTCAAATTGATCTAGCTCTTCCTGCATTGCTTGTAACCAGCTTGAATCTTTTAGAGCTTCCTCTATTTTCTTTGGTTCAATCTGGGAGATCAGTGCTATATTTGCTTTCTTCTTGAGAGCTCCTCTGGTTTTCATTCCTTCGCTTGGATCTCCTATGATAAACTTTTGAGGATATCTAGTTCACTTCTCCATTCATTTGGATGAGTTGTACTTGTATGAGGAGTTGACTCCTCTGGAGATTCTGATTGACTGTTGCTAATCTCATTAGTTGACTCTGTTACACCATCAGGTTTATTAGTTGACTCTTGAGATTTGCTTGTCTCCTGAATTTCTTGAATCTGATCTTCATCACCAGCAATAATTCCTTTCTCGGTCGAAGTGTTATTCTCATCAAATATAACATGTACTGATTCTTCCACACATAATGTGAGTTTATTATAGACTCTAAAGGATCTACTATTTAATGAATAACCCAGAAAAATAACTTCGTCACTTCTTGGATCGAATTTTCCAAGATTGTCTTTACCATTATTGTGAATGAAACACTTTCTTCCAAACGGATGAAAGTAACTAATATTGGGTCGTTTACCTTTCTATAATTCATAAGGAGTCTTCTTCAAAATGGGCCTTATGAGACATCGGTTAAGAATGTGACATGCTGTACTTACTCCTTCTGCCTAGAAGTGATTTGGCAACGAATATTTTAGTATCATAGTTCATGCCATATCTTTCAAAGTCCCATTTTTCCGCTCAACGACTCCATTCTGTTGGGGTGATCTTGGAGCAGAGAAATTGTGGGTGTATCCTTGATCATTAGAGAGATCTTAAAATGCTCTGCTTTCAAATTCTCCTCCATGATCACTTTGAATCATTGTAATCAGATACCCTTCTCTCTTTCAACCTTCTTACAGAATATCCCAAAAAAATTCAAAGCTTCATCTTTATGAGATAAGAAAATCACCCAAAGTAAAACGTGAGTAATCATCAACAATAACAAAAGCATATCGTTTCCCTTCTATGCTAGCAGTCTAGTAGGTCCAAATAAGTCCATACGAAGCAATTGCAAAGGCTTTGAAGTAGATACAATATCTTTGTTTTGAAAGAGTTTCTAGTTTGTTTTCCAATCTGACATGCATCATATATGATTTCTAGAGAAATTGAGTTTAGGCAAACCAATAACTAAATTATGCTTGGAAAGTTTTTCTATCAAATGCATGCTTGCATGATCAAGTTTCTTATGCCATAACCATGGATCATTAGATATGGATGTTAAACAGATATGACCATCTATATTTTCAAAACTATCAAGAATATAAACATTTCCATACCTTTTACCTGGGAGGATTATTTTACTTGTCTCATCTTCAATAGCACAACCAGTTTTCTTGAACTTTACTTCATACCCTGAGTCGTATAGCTGACTTATACTCAGAAGATTGTAGCTAAGTCCGTCAACAAGATAAACCTCAGTGATATCACAATTATTATTGAAAGGAACTGTTCTGGTACCAACTATTTTTCCTTTTGAATCATCACCGAACTTGACACTTCCTTCGTCTACTTTTATAACTTCCTTAAAAAGGTTTTTGTCACCTATCATGTGACTGGAACACGCACTATCTAAGTACCATTTTCCTTTGTGACTCCTCGTGTGGTGTTCCTACAAAATATAATTATTATTTTCTTTTAGGTACCCAAGCTTGCTTGGGTCCTGGTTGGTTAGTATTACTCGACTCAGGATTATTTTTGTGTTTCCAAGTGCATCCTAAGACATTTGATTTATGAAATCGACAAAAGGAATATTTATGTCCATTTTTGTTATAGTAGTGACACATAACTCCTGATCCATTTTTGGATCTTTCATTAGTGGTAGTACCAGTGGACTCTGTTCTGGTTGGTCCTTCTCCAGTTGACTAGTAAGTCGCTTGGTTCGACCTGACAGAACTATGATTGGTGGATTTGCGTATGCCATTGAGTTGCATTTGCAATTCCTCAAACTCTTCTTGAAGTACTTCTTTTTCAATTTCACATACCTCAAGCTTGAGTTTCCAGTCTTTTACTTCTTTATTGAGTCTCTTTAGTTCATTCATCATTTTTTGAGACTCTTTCAAAGTAAGGTCAAGAATATCCTGCAATTCATTACATATTTCACAGTTAGAAGATCTTACCTCGCTTGTTTCACCTCTTTCCATGAAATAGTTCTCATTGTCATCTTTGCATTCATTGTCTGAAGTGTCCTCATCTGTCCAGCACATTGCGAGTTTGTTCATGTCGTTTTACAGAATTGTTATGAAGCAAAGATTTGCTATCTCTTCGTTTTCTGAACTGTCTTCATCATTCCAGCTTCCAAATGATTTGTTCTTGTTGAAGCCTCTGGAAACTTTTCTTTTAAGATCGGGACATTCAGCTTGAACATGCCCAAATCTTCCACACTCATAGCATTTGCCATCATTTTTATCTTGTTTGTTATATTGCCTGGTTCGTCTGGGTGGTATCCTTCCTCTTCTTGCATTCCTGTATCTCCTCATTAAACCATACAAATTCCTTGATACCATGGTAATGTCTTCTTGAAGAGCTTCAGGGTCATCATCAATATCATTTTCTGTTTTTTCAATTGTGGCCTTGAATGCAATTGTTTTCTTCTTTTCTTCCTGGTTTGTTTCCTTGAGATGAGTTTTCTCGAAAGCTATGAGTTCTCCTCGAAGTTTGTCGTATGATAGTTTGTTCAAATCATGTGATTCAAGTGTAACCACTTTTGTCTGCCAAGTAGTGGGTAGACTTCTAAGGATTTTCCTAACTTGATCACCATTTGAGTATGGTTTGCCAAAAGCTTTTAGATCGCTAATGATTTTGCTAAATCTGGCAAACATCTCTTCAATAGATTCTCCTTCTTTCATCTGGAAGAGTTCGTAGTCATGAACCAACATGTTGATATGGGTTTCTTTCACTTTACTGGTTCCTTTATACGTAACTTCAAGTTATCCCACATCTCTTTGGCTGTATCTCAACTGGAGATTTTTTCATATTCCTCACTACTTATAGCATTATAAAGCAGATTCCTTGCCTTATTGTTAACTTGCACAACTGCCATTTGCTCATCTGTATATTCATCTATGTCTTCAGGATCAGCTGGTGGTTGAACAGCGGCCAACAGAGGGTAGTTCCCCTTTTTGATAACTCTCCAGACTTTGACATCATAGGCCTTTGCGTATATTTCCATACGCACTTTCTAGTGAGAGAAATGTTGTCCATTGAAATACGATGGCCTCACTTGCGATGTTCCTTCTTGGAAGAGTGCTCCGATAATAATTTGATTTGCCATGATCTTTCTCACAAGCTGTTAGGCAAAAGAAAAAATGTGAGCCTTGCTCTGATACCAATTGAAAGTACAAGAGGGGAGGGGGGAGGGGGGTGAATTGCTTATTTTTAAAATTAATTATTATAAGTGGACTAGTTTTCCAATTAGTCGACTAGATGTAATGGCGAGGTATTAAGAAATGCAGAATTAAAATGTAGAAGTAAAGTGCAGGAATTAAAGACATCGGAGTTTTTATACTGGTTCGGATTCAATGTGAATCTTAGTCCAGTCCCCTTGGGTTGCAAGGGAGTTCTCTTTCAATGATTGAGTTTCTTGAGTACAAAGTAAATGGTGTAGTTTACACCAACTGCTCAGTTTCTATGTCACTCGTCTTTTCTTGATACAATGCCTCACCAGTATTTTTCTCTCTTACTTCTCTAACTTGTTACATAGCAGATCTAGAAGAGCTACAATGTTTGTTTGTAGTAGAACAAAGAGTGGGTAATTGGTTCGATCAAGTATGAATTTCTAAGTTCTAAGGTTGTGTATAAATACTTGGTATGTGATCGTTACTGAAGAGATTTGTCAACCCAAGAGATTTGATCTTTGTAAAGAGATTGATTCTTTCCAAGAATAAGGTTAATTCCCGTTACTCTTCCTTGATGTATGGACTTTGACAGCTTTCCATCTTCAAGCCTTGATAGCGCTGGATTGGCTCCTTAAATCTGGGTCTTTCCATCTTCAATGGTTCGTTTCCTTTTTAACTCTTCAGGCAATCTCTGATTGATTTTCTCGCCGGATTCTCAGTGCTTCTTTTCCTTTTAGATGCTTCAATCAATCTTTGATTGATTTCTCCCTTCAGCTTTGATTATTTCTCTTTATGCACTTCGATCCCTTGAGTCCCTACACCAAAAGCAAATATATTATTTTTCATCATTAAAACTAAAACCTAACATAAACGAACACTAGAAAATATTTTTCGGAAAAAGTTTTTCACTCACCAATCAAACATGAGAAAATAATTGATAAAACTAGTCATTTTCCAGAAAATATTTTCCATGAAAAATATTTTTCTTCGTACCAAACACACCCTATAAGTAGAAAGGAGCTACAAATGAACTTAGAATAGTGACTTGACGTATTAAGACTGAACTTCAGGAAATCTATAGAAATTTGGGGTAGTATAATTAAACTTCCGCTACTTCTGAACTTCACGACAATGACATGAAGTTTTACTATTCACAAAATTATACCATCGAATATTTCTTAATATGCAAAGTTAGATCATTTCGAAAAAGTTTAATAATTAAAAATTGGGATGCATTTTATGAAGCGAATTGTCTTAGATGATGATTATTAGCGTCTATCATTCTGTTAACTTGTGGATTGGTGGCTTAGTTTCTGGTTTTGAAAAGCCAGTCATGACCTCTCTTATTCCTTTGATTAAACTGACATCACGGAGGAACAAATTAAGCTTAACATCTAAATAAATATACTGCAAAAGAACAGTTAAGAACAAAAAAGTTTTTTGAACTACTATAAATGTTTATAATATTATATAGCTAATAATTTTCAATCTTCTAAATAAAGGGTCGCTACAAGATTAATGTGGAGGAGTACACTCAGAGCTTGCCACCGAATGAGTAAGGCGAGCGACCACCCCTTTCAGACGAAGAAGCGCAGAGGGAGTATGTAACTCAGCTCGAACAAAGTGAGAGGGAGGATGTAATTCAGCTCGACCGAAGTGAGAGGGAGGATGTAATTCAGCTCGAACGAAGTGAAAGGGAGGATGTAATTCAGCTGATATAGTTGGATGTTGTCGGTGGTCCTAAAAAGG